TAAAAACAAAAATTAAACAAAAAAAAAAAAAAAAAAATTACTTGAATAAGTAAAGGCACTAATAATGATATTGATGCGACCAAAAATGTTATATTCGCTATGCTTGATAAGTGAATACCCATGGGACCACTTAAATACCCATAAAATAAAGATCCAATCATTATTGCAACCATAAAACTATTTTATTGAATATTAAAAAAAAGAAAATCATTAATATTGTATTGAATCAAATAATTATGGAATATGAAAATTTTAAAATAGTACCTAGCGAAAATCATACCAAAAGGTAAACTAGAATCATCCGAAATATCATGTAGGCTTTCTAAAAATGGTCCCCACAGAAAAACAAAACTATACATTGACGCTTCGTAAAGAGACTGTACGGCTCCAACAGCAAGGACATGAGAGTCTTATATGAACCAGAGTTAGTAAAAAAAAAAAATAATAATAATAATGTATGATGAAAATATGACAAAACCAATAATTACCATTAATAATAACATGAAAAGCCTGAGATAAACTTTGTAATGCATTTGTCTAGTCGAAATTACAGGTAATGATTAATTTCAATAATAATTTAATGTTTAAATAATTAAAAGGCTGATAATAACATGAAATGAAAAGATACATTTTCGGAAACAGTTCCATAGTTTTCTTTCCAAGTAAGCATCAATATCATTATTAGTGCCTTTACTTATTCAAGTAATTTTTTTTTTTTTTTTTGTATATAATTTATGTTAATAAATAATATCTTAAATTTATTATTTTATTAATTTAATACTCTTTTTTCTTTTTATAATAGAAAGAATTCACCTTATTCATTTTCTTTACCATATTCGAAGTGACTTGCGGTCTTTATTTTCCATTAATTGGAACACTTCGAGCAAAAGTGATTTCTGAAAATATAAGAGCTACCGTTGGAAATTTGTTTAGAGTGCCTTTGAATTTAATAGTAGTTTCTATATTGGTACATAATTAAATTATATAAACTATATTATTCTTGTTATTTATTAAATTTTTCTTATATAAACTTCTTTTTTTTTTTATTTAAAAAAGGTTTCAGATACTTCTATTTCAGAACAATGCCTTTTTTGTAGTTTTCTACTTTTCGTAGCTTTTATTTGGTCATTTTGGCTTCCAATGGTAAGTTTTTTTATTTTATTATTATTATTATTTTTTTTTTTTGTTTAAAAATTTTATTTCAATCAATAATTCAGTCTACGCTACAATATGATTTAATTAATTAATTAATAGGATTCGTCCAAGTCCAAGAAATCTGCAAAAAATATCGCCAAAATTAAGAAAACTCTTGAAAAGCGAAATATTTAATTATAAATTTATTTAAAAAACTATTATTATTATTATTATTATTATATTTATAGCGATAGCAATTAATTTGTTTAATAAAATTAAATTTTGGATATATTGATTCTTTACTCTTATAAAACATTAGTTATTTAACATAATTTCTCATGAAATATTATTAAAGATTGTTGGTAACATAAAACATAGAATTATAATATTTAAAATTCTTAATTAAAAATACTTTTTATCAAACTTTTTTGAAATAAATAATCCTTTAATAATTTATAACATATATATATATATAGATAGATTTTTAATTCTTAAAATAATTAATTGAATGCAAGTTTAAACACAAGTATGTATAATATGAAAAATCTTAATTTTTTTTTTTTTACAAACTTTTTTTGAAAGTTGTCTAAACATGAAAAAAAATGAGAGAATTATTATATATATATATATAAAAAAAAAAATATGCTAATTTCTTTTTTTTTTTTTTTTTTTTTTAATCAATAATTATCTGACCACATAAAATATGTAATCCCCAGTTCATATAAAAAAATTTTTTTTTTTTTTTATAAATTATTTTCTAGGCTGAATCACATGCTTTTCATGAATTTTTTCATGCCTATGAAGATTACTAATTACTGAGAAACATCGACCACATCCTTCAAAACTACACTTGAAAGGTTTTTCACCAGTATGAGTGTACGTATGAGTTTTCAATTGACTAGGTCGAGTAAATAATTTTTGACAATAATCACATTTATACTTTCTCAGAGGTGTAGTTGAAGCAACTTTTGAACTATAAACTGTTATCATTGATGATTGTGGTAATGGTGAATGCATTACTCGAGGTGGATGATTATAACGCATTTGTTTAGACCTTAATGATTGAGTAGAAAATTGAAATTGGTCGGTCATAGACGAATAATCATGTGATAACGGCATAGGTTCCGCACGTGGAGGAATTCCATAATAATCCACAGGAAAAGGATTGTTTTGCGGAATAAAAGTGTTAATACCGGATGGTTTCACCATGGCAGGATCCGTAAAGAACACTGGATCTATGGCCGATTCGTTATATCCTCTTACTATTTAACAAATAGTAATAAACGAATTTAAATTTAAATTTAAATTAATTCATATAAAATTAACCAATTTCATACCATTAGACATTGATAGGTGATTGTTGTTGTTGGGCAAACTGTTTTATTGCGTAAATGACGAAAGACGAAACCTAAACCCAGAAAAGACGAAGGTGGCGAAATCCTGGCGAAAGATGAAACCCCCGGAGAAAGATGAAACCTCTAGCAAAATGCGAGACCCCTGGAGAAATAGAAACCACGAAACTTTAATAAAAAGGCAAAGTCCTAACAAAGATAAAAGGCTGAACTATAGTTTGTGAACGAAAACTTCTTTTTTTTATGATATGTATGTGACCAAATTATTATAGTATTTTTTGACGTCGAAGTGGGATTTTTTTTTTTTTTTTATCAAAATTGAATTGATCAGGGGATCCCTCCACTGTAGTTACTCATGTAATTAAACATTCGATATCAAAAACAGTAAATTTTTATTATCATCAAAAACTTACCAAAACTTAGTAATACACAATCCAATCAATCAGGTTCAAGTTGCTTTTTTAATAAGAGAACCGACTGGTTGTGTAGAAAGAAAGTTGAAATACACAAATAGGAATAAAGTGCAACGTGGGCTTCTTTTTAAGCAAAACAAAAATACATAGGTTTTTTGTACGTGTTTATATGGTTTTATGATCGTACAGATATGCAAGTACATTTGTTTATGCTGCGCCAACAATTAATATATTGATATGTCATAAACTGTGTTTGTGCATAATTTTACTTAATTTGACTACGTATCACAAAGTAAACAAGTACGCGTGATTTAATTGATTAGCTGATTACGTAGTTTATATAGTAATATTACGTCAGAAAGGCAATTGATGTTACATAAGATAATCCATGTAATCCGAATAAATTATTCAATTATCTGATATTAACTTTTGCTCGTATGGTTTTTTGCCTTTCTATTTGCATGCGCTAAAAATTAAATGTCCTTATTAATATTTCTTTTTTCATCAAATTATTACGATTTAGTGAAGTCACTCAAATAATGTAAGCAATAATTTGATATGTATAATATAAATTATAAAATCTTGGTAATACGTACACCTATGATCATTGTCAATGAATCCCATCAACTGACGAATAGCATGTCGATTGACATGTCTAGGAAGATCTATGATGATCTCCATATCTGGTGATAACTTAGAACTGAGATCCATATATGCATCATATGCTTCAAGTGCTTTCTGATCAAACTCTTCAAGGAGAATCTCAAACTATCATTTAAATTAATATACGTATGTGATTAATACCTCTTTGAATACTCTCATAATGACTTGATAATACATACTTCTTTAACTTTCTGTAAGACTTCTTCCGTGTATTCAACCTCTTCTTCTTCTTCATCTTCTTCGCTTCCGTTCTTACTTTTTCCATCTTCTCCTTTTATCTTCTTATTACTTTTATCATGATTAATATTTGAATGACTCGATTTTCTCACTGATGTGCGTCGTTTTGGAATTTGACTTAGTCCTATATCAATTGGTTCTTCTTTTACGACAACATTTTTAGGGGTATAATAATTGCTTGGT